ATTGTTTAAGTTTTGATGAAGTATCTGAATATTATGGTTCTTGAAATGTTGGCTCGCCAATTGGTACAAAAATTAGGATTGCCCCTCATTATGTATTATGCTTAATCACTCTTTTTGATGTTATTTATGCTTCCTACCTTTTTTGGTGTTGTTTTATGTATGCTTGGAGAGGAAGATGAATTGCATGAAGGTAATTGCGTGCTTGTGAAGAAGAGTAACTTATGCACGAAGGATATTTCTGTGCTTCATGATATCATTATTATTGCACGAAGAGTGTTTTCGCGCTTGGTGTGTAAGAGTGATATGTATATATGTTCACGAAAGGTGTCACCGTGCCGGTGAGGATGAGAGGTAAATGCACGAAGGGTGTTGGCATGCTATTTGCATATGATATCTTTTATCCCTTGCTTTTATTATGCAAATTTATGGACTTGGCTATGTTGTTTCATGGTTAACGTTTCATTCTCTTGGATTTAAGTTGTTGTAAAAGGCTTGGTTGTGTTATTTGAGAAAACACGATAGTTACTTCTCTTAGTTGATTCTTTCACCATTCCTCATACTTATTCTTGTTATTTTCTCTTGTTTATTAACTGCACATGTTTATATAGTAGGTATTTTGTCTTAGCCTTGTCACCACCTCATCGGGGTTAGGCTTGACACTTACTGAGTATATTAGGTCGGTTGTAATCATACTACACTTCTGCACTTATTGTGCAGATTCACGCGTTGGTCCTAGTGGGGCTCCGAGGGGTGTGACTATCTTGGACATATGAGAGACTCAAGGTAGTGTTGCATACCTATTTTCAGACTCTAGAGTCACTTTCATTATTATTGCTAATGTTTACTTGTATCTCCAGATGGTCAGATTCTAGTTTCGGTTGAACCGATAGGGCCAGCTCAAGTCCCAAAAAGGTTCATTACTACCCAACACTTCAGAGCACCTTGGTTTGTATGATTGATTTTATGGAGATCATGGCTCATGCAGGTGTACTTCCTATGGCATCGATTATTTATCGGGTTGGGGGAAGAGCTTAGACTCCCGCCACTCACACTCTAAAACAGATGGTGCACGAGTATCAGACGACCCCAAGAGTGTTACCAGTGTATTATTGCAGTGCAGCGTAAGGTTAGACCCGCGATGTCAACTGAGGAGTTGAAGAGGATGTATAGGTTTCAAAAGTTATTTCCTCCTCACTTAAGTTGTGCGCCTCCAGAGGATGTCCAGGAGCTCTTGGACCGATGTTATGAGATCTTGCACAATTTGGGACTGGTTAAGTCTAATGGAGTGGACTTCACTATTTTTTAGATGCAAAAGGTGGTGGGAGACTTATGAGGTGGGTAGACCAGTAGGGTCACCTCCTCTTACTTGGGTTCAGTTTTTACAGCTTTTCTTGAAGACGTTAATCCCGCTTACTCAGAGAGATGACCTACACAGTCAGTTTGAGCATCTTTAGCAGGGTGATATGGTAGTCACCCAAAATAAGATGAGGATTTTTTATTTGTCTCATCATACAGCTATCCTGAACCCTACTAAGAGGGAGAAGGTACAGAGGTTCATAGAGGGGTTTGATTATGGTATTAGGCTTCAAAGGGCTTGAGAGGCCAAGAATGAGACTTCATTCACTCAAGCAATTGAGATTTCTAGGAGGATTGAGTGCATTCGTGGCAAGGGGAGAGAGGTGACGTCTGATAAGAGGCCTCGTCATTTTGGTGGTTTCAGTGGTGCCTCGTCTAGAGGCAGGGATCATTTTGGTAGAGGTCATGCTATCCGGCCAGTTCAAATAGCACTTCGGGTTCTAGTGGTACTTCAGTTGGCCATGGTACTTATGGTCCTCGCTCTGAGCAGCCAGCATTCAGTGCACCTCAAACTCCCATTAGTATAACTCTGATATAAAGTTACTATAGGGGTCATTCGGGTCGTTAGGGATAGCTTCAGGTTCAGCAACCACGTCAGCAGAGGGGTTACTACGAGTGTAGGGATTTGAGGCATGTCGCGATATTTTGTCCCAGGTTTCAGAGTGGTATGCCACAACAGATTACTCGTGCTATGATTCTGGTACCAGTTGCTATACTACTTGCCTAGCCAGCTAGGGTTAGAGGTCATCCAGCTAGAAGTGGAGGTCGTCCAAGTAGAGGTCACCCTAGAGAAGCAGGACATGCCGGTGGGGACCAACCCCGTTATTATGGATCTCTCGGTAGGCTTGAGGCAGAGTTGTCTGATATAGTCATCATAGGTGTTATCATTGTCTGTCATAGAGATGCTTCAGTGTTGTTTGATCCGGGTTCTACCTATTCATATGTGTTATCATATTTTGCATCACACTTGAGTATGCCTCGTGATTCTCTTGATATTCCTATTTCTATGTCTACATTGGTTGGGGATTCTATAGTAGTTGATCGGGTGTACCGGCCTTATGTTGTTACCATTAATGGTTTTGATACCATCGTTGATCTTTTGTTGTTGGATATGGTGGATTTTGAGGTGATTCTGGGTTTGGATTGGTTGTCCTTGTATCTCGTTATCTTGGATTGCCACACCAAGACTGTGACTTTAGCTATGTAAGGGTTTTCTAAACTAGAGTGGAGGGGGACCTTGGCCATTCTACGAGCAGGATGGTTTTATTTTTGAAGGCTCAACAGATGGTTTAGAAGGGGTGTTTAACATATTTGGCTTATATTCGAGATTCTAGTGCAGAGGTTCCTTCTATGGACTTAGTACCGGTTGTTAGGGAGTTTCCAGAGGTGTTTCTATCGGATTTACCTAGCATGCCACTTGATAGAGATATTGAGTTTTGTATTGACTTAGTTTCGGGCACTCAACCCATTTCTATCCTGCCATACTGTATGGCTCTAGCTGAGTTGAAGGAACTGAAGGAGTAGTTGTAGGATTTGCTTGATAAAAGGTTTATTAGACCGAGTGTTTCTCTTTGGGGTGCACCAATGTTGTTTGTGAAGAAGAATGGTGATTCTATGAGGACATGCATTAATTATCGATAGTTGAACAAGGTTACAATCAAGAACAAGAATCCATTGCCTCGTATCAATGATTTGTTTGACTAGCTTCAGGGTACCAATGTGTTCTCCAAGATTAGTTATAGTCTAGTTATCATCAGGTGAAGATTAGTGCTTCATATGTCCCTAAAACAGTTTTAAGAACTTCTTATAGTCATTATGAGTTCTTGGTTAATTTCATCTGGTTTGACTAATGCTCCAGCGACTTTCATGGATTTGATGAACCGAATGTTCAAGCCTTATTTGGATTCCTTAGTGATTGTATTCATTGATTATATTCTGGATTACTCTCGTAGAAGAGAAAATCATGAGCAGTACTTGTGGGTTGTACTTTAGACTTTCAAGGATCGTCAGCTTTATGCCATGTTTTCGAAGTGCGAACTTTGGTTGGACTCAATTGCATTTTTGGGTCATGTTGTGTCTAGTGATAGTATAAAGGTTGTTCCTAAAAAGATTGAGGCGGTTCAGAATTGGCCTAGACTTACTTCAGCTATAGAGATCCGAAGTTTCTTGGGTTTGGCAGGCTACTATCGTCGCTTTATTAAGGGATTTTCATCTAATGCAGCTCCATTGACCAAGTTGACTCAGAAATATACTCATTTTAGATGGTCTGATGAATGTGAGAAAAGCTATCAAAAGCTCAAATTTGTTTTGACTATGGCTCCAGTATTGGTGTTGCCCACATTTTCGGGGCCTTATACCGTGCATTGTGTGCTTCGCGCATTGGTCTCAGTGCAATTGTGATGCAGTATGGTAGAGTGATTACCTACGCATCTCGTCAGTTGAAGACCCATGAGAAGAACTATATAGTTCATGGTTCGGAGTTGCCAACTATTGCGCACGCTTTCAAAATTTGGAGGCACTACTTGTACGATATATCATGTAAGGTTTAAATTGATCATTGGAGTCTCCAACACTTGTTCAAGTAAAAGAATTTGATATTTATGAGCCTAGTCGGATTCTTGCTTGTGCTATTGCATAGTCGTCCTTGTTTGTGCGTATTAAGGCTCGCTAGTATGATGATCCACATTTGTTTGTGTTACAGGGTGGAGCGAGGTGTCCTGAAGAAGGTTGTGATTTGAGATAATGGTGTTATGCAGCTTCAAGGTCGGATTTGTATTCCGAATGTTGATGGCTTGAGGGAGTTGATCTGCCGGGAGGCACATAGTTCATGGTATTCTATTCACCCAGGTGTCACGAAGATGTATCATGACTTGAATTAATATTATTGGTGGTGCAAGATAAAGAAAGACGTTGTTGGGAATGTTTCACGGTGTTTGAATTGCCATCAGGTGAAATATGAACATAAAAAATTAGGTGGTTTGACTCAGAGGTTGGTTATACCAGAGTAGAAGTGGGAGCACTTTACTATGTACTTTGTAGTGAGATTACCACGAACTTTGAGGAAGTTTGATGCTATTTGGGTTATTGTGGACATGACTTGCCATATCTGCATATTTTATTCCGGTGATGACTTTTTACACTTTAGAGGAGTTGGTTTAGATCTACATTAGAGAGATTGTTTTTTTGCATTTTGTGCCCATTTCGACCATTTCAGAGCATGGCACTCAATTTACATCGAACTTTTGGAGAGTTGTCCAGCAAAAGTTGGGCATGCAGGTGGAGTTGAGCACTACACTTCACCCTCAAACGAACGACCAGTCTGAGTGAACTATTCAGATCCTTGAGGATATGTTGAGAGCCTATGTTGTTGACTTCGGAGTCCATTGGGATCAGTTTCTACCATTGGCAAAGTTTGCCTCCAACAACAACTATCAGTCTGGCATTCAAATATCAATGTATAGGCTTTATATGGTAGGCGGTGTTGTTCTCCTATTGGTTGGTTTGAGCCTGGTGAGGCTAATTTAGTGGGTATGGATTTGGTTTGTGATGCCTTAGATAAGGTGAAGTTGATTTGGAAGTGTCTTCGGACAGCGCAGAGTAGGTAGAAGAGTCATGCGGACAAGAAAGTCCGTGATGTGGCTTTTATGGAGGGCAAAAAGGTACTTTTAAAAGTTTTGCCTATGAAAGGTTTGATGAGATTTGGGAAAAAGGGAAAGTTAAGCCTGAGGTTTATTGCTTCGCTTGAGGTGTTCGAGAGAGTTGGGAAGGTTGCTTATAGGTTTGCATTACCTCCCAGCCTAGCAAGAGTACATCCGGTATTTCACTTTCGGTACTTTGGAAGTACCATGAAGAAGTCACATGTTCTGGACTTCAGCACGGTGCAACTTGATGAAAAATTGACATATGAAGAAGAGCTAGTGGTTATTGTAGATAGGCAGGTTCAAAAGTTGAGATCTAAGGACATTTCTTCCGTGAAAGTGCTTTGGAAAGGGCAGCAAACTGAGGAGGGTTACTTGGGAGTCCGAATCTGATACGAGGAGTAGATATGCATCTCTTTAACATTCAGGTACATTTCTATGTCCGTTCGACAATAAATGTTTTTTTTAGAGGTAGAGAATGTAATGACCCGATATGTTATTTTGAGTTCTAGCTCTCTGTTTCCTGATTTGAGGCCTTGAATAACTTCATCTGATATTTTATGACTTGTGTGCATGGTTCGTTACGATTTTCAGAAAGTTTAGACGTGCTTTGAAAGAGAAATTCTAATTCTAGAGATTTAATGTTATTGGAGTTGATCATAGTCAATATTCTGGATAAATGATCTTGGATCGGTGTTTTGACGATTCTGGTAGGTTCGTATGATAATTTTGGACATGTACGTATGTTTAGTTTGGGTCTCGGGTGATCCAAGGCTGTTTCGGCATTTATAGTTGAAAGTTAGAAATTTGAGTTATAAACATTTTAAATCCTTGATTTTTGATACTTGATTATTAGTTTTGATGTTGTATTTTATATTTTGAGCTTACAAGCGAGTTTGTGTGAGGTTAATATACTTATTTGGATGATTAGATGGGGTCTCGAGGGGCTCATATGAGTTTCAGATTGGTTTCAGACTATTTTGATTAGTTTTACATTGATGGTGTTGTTGTTGTTGTTGTTGTTGTTGTTGTTGTTGTTGTCGCAATTGCAATGACCAGCTCGCAAATGTGAGGTTCACATTTGCGAATGTCATCTCGCATTTGCAAAGTTCAAAGGGTGGAGCTCAGTGTCACAATTGTGATGCTGAGGTTCGCAGTTGGGACTATGTAGGCTCAGGGGGATTTTTCGCATTTGCGATCAGTAGGCCACATTTGTGAGCTGCGCAATTGCAAATAATTTTTGACAATTGCGATATCTGCAGCTGGGTAAAAAGGGAAGGGTTTCGAGATTAACTCATTTTATTCTATTTTTGAGATTACGTAAGGAGGCGATTTTTGAGAGGATTTTCGTCCCAACTTCAAGGGTTAATAATTTTAACTTAGTTTTGATTTATTTTCATAATTCCCATAGATTTTCATCCCTTATACGATTTTAAAAAGTAGAAAATAAATTTTGGGTAGTAACTTAAGAAAGTAAGTTTTGGAGATTTAGACCTCAATATGAGGTCAGATGTTGAAATAAAATACATATTTGGACTCGGGAAAGAATGAATATTCAAAAACTGATCTTGATTTCGAATTTCGACAATGTGGGCACGTGTTGACTTTTTCAAATATGATAAAAATCAAACCTTTTTATTGTTAAGAGGGTTCCTTAAGCTTGTTTTGACTTATTTGAGTATTATTTGACTAGATTCGGGTGGTTTGGAGGTTTATTCTAAAGGAAAAGCGGTATTGGAGAGTTTATTGGATCCAAAAGAGGTAAATATCTTGGCTAACCTTGATTTGAGGGAATTAGGTTGTACTTGGGTCTATTTGCTACGCGCTAAATATGTTGGAGGCGGTGTATATGCGTGATGATGAGTGTATATGCGTTATCAGGGGTTAAACATGCAGATAGAATTAGACTTATTTATGTCTTATTGCTTTATGCATTACTTTTTCTACACTTCAAATAGTTCATGAAACCTCTTGAGTGTTCATATACATGTTAATAGTTACGTTTAAGTTTTGATGAAATATTTGTACATTATGGTTCTTGAAATGTTGGCTCGCTTATTGGTACAAAAGTTATGATTATCCCTCACATGTGAATTATGATAAATCGCTCTTCTTGATATTATTTATGCTTCATACCTTGATTGGTACTGTTTTATGTATGCTTGGAGAGGAAAAGTGAATTGCAGGAATGACGATTATATGCTTGTTAGGGAGAGTGATTTATGTGGTTCTTGACATCATTATTATTACATGAATGGTGTTTCTGTGCTTTGTGAGGAAGAGTGATATGTATATATGTGCACGAAGGGTGTTACCGTGTTGGTAAGGATAAGAGATAAATGCACAAAGGGTGTTGCTATGCTATTTGATATGATATCTTTTACCCCTTGCTTTTGTTATGCTGATTTCTGGACTTTGCTATGTCGTTTTATGGTTAACGTTTCATTCTCTTGTATTTGAGTTGTTGGAAATTGCTTGGTTTTGTTATTTGAGAAAATATGGTCGTTACTTATCTTAGTTGATTCTTTCAGCATTCCTCGTACTTATTCTTGTTATTTCCTCTTGTTAGTTCTCTTGTTTTTTTCTCTTGGTTTATATAGTAGGTGTCTAACTTAGTCTTGTCACTACCTCGTCGGGGTTAGACCCAATACTTATTGAGTACATTGGATCAGTTGTACTCATACTATACTTCTAGACTTATTGTGCAGATTCAGGCATTGGTCCAAGTGGAGCTCCAATAGGTGATTAGCTTGGACATCTCGGAGACTCGAGGTAGTTCTGCATACTCGTTTGCAGACTCCGGAGTCACCTTCATTATCATTGCTACTATTTACTTGCACTAGATAATATTATATTTTGTTTTAAATTTTATATTTAGTACTCTTTAGAGCTCATGTATTCAGTGACACTAGTCTTGGGAAGTTGTTTAAGTTAATTGTTGATGGTGTTTAGACTTATTATGTAATTTTAGAATATTTAACTCTTTATTTATTATATTATGCTGTTAGTTGTTAGGTTTTGCTTCTATCATTATTATTAAGTGTTGGCTTGCCTAGCAATCGGTGTTAAGCGCCATTACGATCCCTTGGTTGGGATTTTGGGGGTGTGACATTAACATTTAAAAAAAACAAATATTCTAGAATTTTAAAGTAAAAAGAAATTTTCAATATAGTGGTTGATCATAAAGAGGAGATTTTATGTGATAAAAGTGCAGTTATGTCTCTATACATGCTTATCTATGTATTACAAATTATGGTATTGCTAATGTCATGATTTTCTATGTATAATAATAGTACTTAATAGGGTATATAACTAATACAAATATTAGTGCCACGACCTAAAACCATCATCCGGTCGTGACGACGCCTAACTCACTTGCTAGGCAAGCCAGGCATAACAAAAACGAAACATAAATACTGAATTAACACAAGAAGTACAAGTCTAAGGCCAATTTACATAACAACAACGTCGATACATAACAAATTCCCCAGAACTGGTAAATATTGAGTCATGAGCTCTAAAAACGAAAGTACAAGTCTAAAATGCCAAATAACAATATTGTTTGAATGAAAACCAATAGTACATAAAGAAAAAGAGACGCCAAGACTGCGGTCGAGATGCATCTCTACCTCATCTCTCCAAGATACTCAGCAACAACCCCTGGCTACTGGTGGCTCGGTCCAACACCTGGATCTGCACAATTAAGTGCAGAGTATAGTATGAGTACAACTGACCCATGTACTCAGCAAGTATCATAACTAATCTCGGCGAGGTAATAGAAGAAAGATTTATAAATTATACTTACTTTAGTAAGATACTTACTTTAAGCAAGTCAAATCAATCCTCTAACAGGCCCTTCCCGCGCGAATCAATCTCTAGATGGCTCAAATCTAGCCAAATTAATATAATATCATCAATAAAAGCCACTGAAAACGATTCCAAATGATAAAGCTAAGATCTTGAATCAATTATGCAGTGGCAACTCCGGGCTCGCACCCCGAAACCCGACAAAAGTCACATATTCCGAACACTCATTCCGATACGAGTCCAAATATATTTTTTTTTATCCAATTCCAATCTTAAATCGACCCTCAAATCATTAAATCTCACTCTACAAAATCATAGTCCAAAAATCGCCAAATCTCACCTTTAATTCATACAAATTAGGTGTAACAATCTACGGGTAATTAATAACTAACTCCAACATTGAGTAAAGATTACTTACCCCTTCAATTGTGATGAAAAGCCTTCCAAAAATCGCCTCCAACCGAGCTCCACAACTCCAAAAATGAGAAAATGACTAAACCCTCGATATTAAATATTCTGCTCAGCAAAATCGCATCTGCGGTCCACATAGTCGCACATGTGACACCGCATCTGTGAAAATTCCATCTCAGATACGGAAGCCACTAATCTCCCGACCATCCGCTTCTACAGATCATCCCCCCGCACCTGCGAGTCCGCTTCTGTGGACGCCTCGCCGCATCTGCGGCTTCGCTTCTACATCCAAGTTGGCGCTTTTGTGGACTTCCTCTGCCAGGCCCAAAACTCGCACCTGCGCAACCATGGCCGCATCTGTGGCCAATCTTCCGCAGATGTGAATACACTAGAACCCAGAAAACTCAGCAATGCCAACATAGCCAAAAATGATCCGTAACTCATCTGAATTACACCTGAAGCCCCCGGGACCCCATCCAAACACATAAACCAATCCTAAAACATAACACGAACCTACTCGAGGCCCCAAATCACCCTAAAAATATCAAAACTACGAATCACACCTCAATTCAAGCCTAAGGAAACTAATGAACTTCCAATTTCCAAAACTCGTGCCAAACCATAGTAAATCAACTCAGAATGACCTCAACTATTTCATACAAGTCCTAAATGGAACAATAGAACTATTCCAACTTTTGAAACCAAAATGCAAATCCGATACCAATACAGTTAAGTTCCGGTCAAACTTATCAACCTTCCAAACCTTAAACTTTTCAACTTTCGCCAATTCAAGCCAAAATGACCTAGGAACCTCCAAATCCAAATCTGGACATATGCCCAAGTACAAAATCACCATACGAAACTATTGGAATAATCAAAACACCATTCCGGAGTCATCTACACAAAAGTCAAACTCTGGTCAACTTTTACAACTTAAGCTTCCAACCTTGGGACTTAGTGTCCCAATTCACTCCAAAACTTCTCCGAAACCAAACCAACCACCTCGACAAGTCACGTAACCACAAATACACATATGTAAAGCATCAAATAGGGGAAATGGGGCTAAAATACTCTAAATGACCCACCGGGTCGTTACATTCTCCCCCTCTTAAACAAACATTCATCCTCGAACGAGTCTAGAGTCATACTTGGAGTCTCAAAAAGGTGAGGATATC